GCTAGCCTTACTTAGCCCTTTCACTGTCTCCAGCCTTGGATAAACTCCACTTCAAGGCTAGATTTTATGTGCAAGCAAGGAACATAGTGGAATGAGTGAAAAAATAAAGCCCTAGGTTTTGACCTGTTGGCCTGGTTTCTGCATAGTGAAGGGTAAAGGGCAAAACAATTCATTAGCTTCCCCCTCACATACCTCCCAAGGCCAGTCCAATCTCTCACTCACTGACACAGGAATTACACCAGCCTTCAGTGATAGACACACACACTAGCCATTTCTGGGCCAAAGGGAGAAAGAAATACATTTTAAAGGCTTGACAGTTAAAAGTTCGGTACACCCTCCTACATTTGTCATTTGATGATTTTCTAGAAGGAAGTTACATTCAGCAAGTTCTCCTTTGGGAAAAAGGATCTGGTGTCAGAGCAAAGGACTCTATTCTGCCTTCAGAAAAACCCCGATCTACCTAAGTTTGTCCACAACTCTAGTTCCTTTACCGATTCCAGGAGCCTGGCTCCCTGGTCTCTGGGCCCTCTGGTCTCTACCTGTAGCCTCATTTACCTAAAATGGTATCCTGCTCCCTCTGAAACAGGACACTGATGACGTTGGCAGCAGTGAGTAGTAACTTCTGGTTGCACAGCTGCAGCAGCAAGAGTGTGTAATTTGCCTTAGTCCGGTGGGTGCTGCTCCCAAACCAGCACAATATCTCCCTCATCTTCTGCCCTATTGTACTATCCAGCATCTGGTTCATGAACTTCATGATGTCCCCCTCCTGCTTGCTGAGGTCGATCCGGGACCTGTTATAGATGAAATCCTTCCCCTGTGTGGTCTGAAGGATATTTTGAAAATAGTATAACAAATATAAGCTATCCAACTGTCCCAGAATGCTCACTAGAAACCTCCTTTGAGCTATCTCACTGACCCTTAGGAACCACTCTTTGGTGGAGAAGATCTTCCTAGCCAAGATGCATGTTTCACACCTCTGGCACACGGGCACAGATTCATTTCCCTTCTCACAGCGAAAATAGGGGAAAGTCTTGAGCCTTGATTCCATGTTGTCCATGATCTTGAGATGACCAGCTCATTTTATCCTTGCCCGTGGTCAGCCCCACCAAATAGCAGAGGGACAGGAGAAGCTGATAAATATCCCAAATGACGCTTTTCTATTATAAACATCTCCCAGAGGAAAAGCAAACCTCTGAGATGGATGGGAAGCTTAGCTCTCCCAGAAACTGCCAGTAGAAGTCCCAGGAAACTTGGTTTTACCGTAAATCTCCTAAACCTGGCGCTGCTTTTGTGGAGGCAGTTGCTGTATATTCTGAAAGAGCTGGTCATCTCATTTCTAGAACAAGAAGTGTTAGTCAAATTTAAATAATATATGGACCATTTTTAAAGGGAGAAAATATTGTGTAGCCTGTTGTTGAGCTTCATTTGGTATTGTTATTTAATGACTTTTAAATATTTGTGAATATAAAATTAGATGTAACTTCTTATGGTTGTAGCTGTTTGATTATAAGGTGGCTATCCCAATGATCATGAATATATTTACACTCATTTTCTTAACTCATCATCGAAGTAAAAACACAAGTGTTTAATATAAATTTAAGTTATTTAGCTGCTTGAGAACACTAACCAGAAACCTCTTTAGGGAAGCACTCCTTAGCGGAAAAATTTTCACTGGGACAAAGAGTGGACTTGGGGACTTCCACCCTCAACCACATGCCCACCCATGTGTCTAGGAGGCAACTTAGGAGGGAAAAGTGTGGGGTGTGGGCCAGACTCTTGGGTTTGGATCCCAGCCCACCTGCTTACTAGTTCTGTGAACACAGGTACATTGCTTCATCCTCTCCGCTTCAGTTTCCTCAACTGGGAAATTGAGACAACAGTTCCTACTTCATACTAGTAAAGTCCTTGTGAGGATTAAATGAGGTACCATACACAAAGCACTTAGGAGATTGTCTAGTACATAATTAGCCCCCAATAAATGCTAATTATTGTGCCCTTGTCACCATCATCATCATTATCATTGGGATCACTCTTCTGGCAGCCGGGCAATCAATGTTCACTAGGATGTTCATATGTGTGTATGTTCATACATTGAGATACATGTAAAGAAATAATGCGAGTGTGTGTGTAGTTTTTAAAATAAAAAATGACATGAAAATAACTTACTTATTTCATGAGATCTTTGTCTTTTAACTCTGGCTTATGATCCATTCAGGAGTGACGACATAAGGGTGCACATGGCGGTTAGAAATTTTTCAAAATAATTAATAAAGACGTACTGCTGCTAAGTTGGGAAAAATTACTGTACTAGACTATTGCCTAGCATAGCTACCCAGCTTGTCCCTGCAGCCAAAATGCCCTTGTAAATGTTGGCAGCCCAGAGAAGAGACTTGAAAGCACACTGAGACCATTCTGCTTCAGACAAGACGAGGTTCAAACACTGGTTCTGGTACTTCGGAACTACATGGTCTTGAGTAAGCTACCTGGATGAAGATGGCAGAGATGAAGGCAGGTAATAAAAATTATAGCTACCTTCTGGGATTAAAGCAAATGTGTGAGGCCAGTGTCACTGCTACTGTTATTGTTTTTATGGTTATTACTCTAGATTAAAGAGAAGATTTGTAATGACACAAGCACTTCCAGTGTAGAGACCAGGCAGTTAAAGATAGGCATTGGACATCATTCCCAGCGGTGGTTTGTAATGGCAGTCCCATACAAGGGTCGGGTGTGGGACAAGGATCAAGCTGGGAAGGACAGTGCTAGTAGCTCAGCCTCTTCTATCTGAAGAGATATTTGAAAGGCAAGAGCAGATTAGTATCTAATCTATCAGAAAGACCAGACAAAGGAGGGTATAGGAGGCAGGAGCCCCAAAGCAGAGGATTGGGTATATATTGTCCCCAGAAAGACTACAAACTAAAATTAAAAGTAGCTTGTTTTTGAAAATCCAAATTAAGATTTTAATCTGTGAGGCTGATATACATGAAGGAAGCAGTTTTACTAAGCCAACAGCCTTTACTCCATGCTCAGAGGCCCACTGTGGCCCCCTTGAGGGAAGTCAGAGAGACTAGATGGAATCCCAGAGGTGCGGCCTTAAACAAGTACCTCCAGCCTCGCTGAGGCCAGTTTCCTTCCTGTGAATGACACATGATCCTCCCTACCCTGCAGGGTGTAATGTGAGGATTGCATTCATCAAAGTAGGCCATCATGCTACTTCTGCTGCCTTTCCATTCCACTCACTACCCTACACACACATGTGCACACCTGGGTATGCACACAGCTTCTCACCTGGCTCAGGAGTCATTTGGGATCTGATGGTAGGGTTTAAAACAGGGGTCCTCAAACTACGGCCCGCGGGCCACATGCAAATACAAATATTGTATTTGTTCCCGTTTTGTTTTTTTACTTCAAAATAAGATATGTGCAGTGTGCATAGGAATTTGTTCATAGTTTTTTTTTTTTAACTATAGTCTGGCCCTCCAACGGTCTGAGGGACAGTGAACTGGCCCCCTGTTTAAAAAGTTTGAGGACCCCTGGTTTAAAAAGTGGCCTTGGTGAAGGGCAGGACAAGATGACCAGATGGGATAAGCCAAAGGGCTAATAGGCAACCTGGAAACTCAATGATTTCTCATGGTGGAGAAGTGGCTCGGAGATACCCAAAGAGGTGAGCAGGCAAACAGGTCTCAGCCAGAGTGAGACCCAGGTCAGGAAACATTTCTCCAAGGAAGGCTTTGGGCTGAGAAATCGGTATTTCTCAGATATCCAGGCTACCAGCACCCTGAAGACCAGTCCCCTAGCTTTCCTCTCTGCCCTCTACTGGTATATTCATTGTTTATGATTCTGACTAAGCCCTCCTGCCATCCAGCCCCAAATCTACACTTTCTCTCCCATCCTGCCACGTGGTTTAGAGAACCCGGCAGGTCCAGCTGCTTCTTCCTGCCTGGCTCTGTGCCTACCTAACACTGCACCTGAGGCTCTTCTGGTTCTCACCAAAGCTGCCTGCCTAGCCCTAACCGGTCTGGTTCAGTGGATAGAGCGTCGGCCTGCGGACTGAAGGGTCCCAGGTTCGATTCTGGTCAAGGGCATGTACCTTGGTTGTGGGCACATCCCCAGTAGGGGATGTGCAGGAGGCAGCTGATCGATGTTTCTCTCTCAATGATGTTTCTAACTCTCTATCCCTCTCCTTTCCTCTCTGTAAAAAATCAATAAAATATATTTTTTTAAAAAAAGCTGCCTGCCTCGGGTCAGCCAGTGGGAAGTCAGGAAAGGGCTCAGGCCCCAGAGTAGGGGAGTGTGGAATGAAGCCAGTCTGTGCTTCTGAGCAACTACATACCCCTGGATAACTCACTTTCTGCCCTCTGCCTGCTACCCTTTTCTAAAATGGAAATTATAATTCAACCTAGCTCACAGGCTGGTGTCAGGGTCAAATAAATGGACATATATAAAAGGCACTTTATAATGTAAGATGAACAATACAAGAAAAATACTAGTAGTTCGCCCCCGCCCCCCATCTCTGGAAGATTTGTTCCAAGACCCCCAGTGGATGCCTAAAACCTTGGGTAGTACTGAACCATGTATCCATTATGTATTTTCTTATAGGTACATAGCTATGATAAGGTTTAATTTATAAATTAGACACAGTGAGAGATTAACAACTAATGATAAAAGAGACCAATTATAACAATATACTGTAAAAAATGTATGTGTCTGTGGCCTCTCTCTCCAAAATTCGGATCACCAAGGTGGCTGCTAGGTCACTAACAGGCAGGGGGTGTATCCAGCGTGGAGATGCGGGACAAAAGGGTGATTCCATCCCAGGCAGGAAGGAGCAGGACAGTGTGAGATTTCATCTTCAAATTGATGCCAAGTATATAAATTATGAATTATTCATTTCTGAAATTTTCCATTTAATATTTTTGGACAATAGCTGACTCCAGGTAACTTTAAAAAGCAGCACCATGGCCCTAGCTGATTTGGCTCAGTGGTTAGAGGGTCAGCCTGAGGACTGAAGGATCTGGGGTTCGATTCTGGTCAAGGGCACCTAACTCGGTTGCCAGCTGGATCCCCAGCCCTGATTGTGGCGCATGCGGGAGGCAACCAATTGATGTTTCTCTCTCTGTCTTGCCCCGCTCGCTTCCACTGTCTCTAAAAATCAATGGAAAAAATATCCTGGGGTGAGGGTTAACAACAACAAAAGGCAGCACCATGGATAAGGGGCTCTACTGTATTGTTGTCATGAGGGAAAATGGGAAAACTGTCATGTTTGAACCATCACTTTCCCATCATGTGATGTTACACTTGATGACCAAGTTAAATGATAAAGTCTGTGTCCATGAGAAATCATTGAGTTTCCAGGTCGCCAATTTGCCCTTTGGCTGTGAAAGAAACAGATAGGAAATAAGGGCACTGGCTAGAAATGTTTTCTATCCAGAACAGGGAGAACCAAGAGAGCACAGAAAAGTTCCCAGCCTTGCTAAAAGCGCTGAATCCCCAAGAAGACAGTGTATCCTTGGGGTGGCCAATACTTTTTCCTGTTAGTACTAAAACTTGTGGGCACTTGCTATTGGTGCCTGGAGAGCAGACCAGAATGAAGAGAATGGAGGTAACCAGTGGCTCTCAAACCTAAACATGCATCAGCTTCCCTGCAGGCCTTAGGAAGGCAGTGCTGGGCCCCCTGGAGCTTCTGAGTCAGTACACCTAAGCTGAAGCCCAGACCTGGCATCACTAATAATTCTCAGCAGGTGCTGCTGCTGCTGAGGAAACCACACTTTGAGAACCACTGATATAAGCTATGTCTGTGTCTCAATACCTGTAAATATGACTTCACTTTAGAAATAAACATAATGTTTAACTCCTTCAAAAGGTATTATTGAGTGTCCTTGATTGAGTTACTTAACCTGTCTAAGCCACTAGTTTCTCACTTTCGTTCCATGAAATAGAGAAAGTATTATCTATCTCACAGGGCTGCAAAGATTAAATGAGATAAGAGATGGGAAATGGTATCTAAAAATGGTACTCCCAATGTTACAGCCCTTTCTTCTCATTAATCTTTAAAAAAAAATCTAAGCTTTTTGGAAGATACCTAAGGACCTCAGCAAAACTTCAGCACAGGGACATGTCAGCCAGAGGTAGGTTTGAAGAGAGAGGACCTGGAACCTCTGATGTGTCTGACCAGCTCAATACGCTATCATACATTCTTATTCGTATTTGAGGAGTTATCAGAGACGGTGAGGGCTTCTGGGTGGCAGTTGTTTAGTTATTTTTTTATCCAGGTCCTAAAATTCATGTCACAGTAGCTTTCATGGCTTCTTATGGGTTCTGGCTCTATGTTTATCACAGGATGTGTTGGTTAAGGCTACAAAAGTGACTATGAAAAGGGCCAGGTTTGTGCTCATTTCGGCAGCACTTGTACTAAAACAGGAATGATGCAGAGGAGATTGGCATGGCCCCTGTGCAAGGATGACATGCAAATTCTGGAAGCCTTCCATATTTTTGACATTGACAGCAGTATGGTGATTGCCAGAGGAAAATGAGTGGGGTTTGGGAGATAGAAAAGGGTAAATGGAGGATAAATGGTGACAAAAGAAGACTTGACTTGAAGTAGTGAACACACAATGCAATATACAGATGATGTTTTATAGAATTGTACACCTGAAACCTGTATAATTTTATTAACCAATGTCATACTAATAAATTAAATAACATTTATTTTAAAAAGTTTTTAAAAAGGGCCAGCTTTTAGATCTGGATGACTCTAGGAGACATGTGGGGATGCCAATGCTCCCATTTTATATATGGGTAAGCTGAGGCCTGAAATAGTTGAGACAGCCAAATACCACCAGTAGAATGCCTAAGCTGAAGTTCAATGATGAAAACTAGAGTGACAAATAATACATTTCACAGGACTTGGCAGTCTGGGGTGAAGCTGGAAGTTTACTTCTCTGAGAGAGGGCCCAGGAAACCCCAAAGTTACAGTAGCCAGTTTGAGGAGCAGGTCAAAAACAGCATAAATAGAATAAATGAGGAAGGAAAGAGAAAAAAGAAAGGATGGTAGAAGAGAAGATGGAGAAAAAAAGTAAGAAGAGTAATGTTCACCTGGCAAACCTTTCATCCAACTGGATACAGAGTTGGGGTCCTGGCCCTGGCTAGTACTAGCCATGGCTACTGAGATAAGCACAGAATTTATGTGATGAAAAGTAAAAGGAAAACTAAACTGAAGAATGGATGAGAACATATTGTCAAGTGGAAACACTGGTTGTTGAAGAGTAAGCAAACTTACTAACAAGCAGACCCCATACTTTTTGGGTTATTGTTCCACTCTATATTGATTTTACTGACAAATAGGACAAATGAGCTCATCACACAGAACCAATCATCCTAGTCTTCCTCCAGAGGGAGCTGGATAAGACAGACCAGGAGTCAGCCACTTGAGTGGACCCCTAAGGTAGTCCCCATTTCCCACCACACCTGCCACCTCACACAGGTTTCCCTGGGCCCTTCCAGCAGTGAGGGTCAGCGTGCCAGGGCAGAGCCAGCCACCAGGCACACAAAGCCAATCCCACTGCCTTACTATCACAGCATAAAGCCTGAGCATCCTGTGGGAAGGAGTCTGAGAGGCATGGATGGAACCGAAGAATAACAAGAGTTTTATGTCAACTTCTGGAGAGTACATTATAATTTGAAAAGGCTGTGAACACCCAATAGCAGCTTGGTAGATGCTTTAAAGATTTTTTTTTTAAATATGACACACACACACACACACACACACACACACACACACACCTCTTTTCAGGTTATCATCAGGGTCACTCTCTATGAAAGTCTTTAACTTAGGGTGAAAATTTGAACCTCAAATGACTGATCACTGCTATGTCAATCCTCAATCCTTGTTAGATGACCTGTTTTTCTTCTTTCTTTCCAGTACCTGGTCTTCTCCTTTCAGAGAGATGATGGAATTTTCTCAACAAGACTGTGGAGAAAACCAGAAATAGAGATAAGGACTAAGCATATTCCAGCAAAGTTCAGATGGCCAGTCACTCTGCCTGAGCCAGCCACAGTATGTGCCTGCATGTGGCTATCAGATACATCTGGTACAGTGAATGCCCTGCAAGGGCTCCTGCCTCACCACCATGTCTCATAACAGGTATGTAGTGAGGGGGAAGTCAGTGCTCAAATTGGAGGAAACTAGGAGAAGCTGGACATGTGCCCACTACTTTTTCTTGCATCTTCTATTTAAGGCTAATGGGGATGTATTGGTGGCCCCTGGAATGGGGCGGTTGGTATAGAAATGGGAAGCAATCAAGGAGTAGGTCAGTCAATGACACAATACAAAACTCAGTCACTGAAGATGGTCTGAGAAAATGTTACATTAGAAGGACATGGAAATCAGGAATTCATTTCAAATATTGCTTTATCTATAATTGTCTTAAATAGTAGATTCCTATTTAGCTCTTCACATATAAACACTTTTCGCTTTAATTTATACCAACTTTCTTATTGTCTTTTTCTAACATATTTTTCAATTTTATATTGTTGACAGTATTACAAATGTGCCTCATTCCCTGCCCTCCCCCATTTGCCCACCTCCACCCAGCTCCTGCTACCCCTCCCCTTGCCTCCACCACTCTGTTGTCTGTGTCTATAAGCTATGTATATATCTTTTTTGGCTACTCTCTTCACCTTCTTTTACCCAATTACCCCCACCCCACTCCCCTCTAATATCTGTCAGTCTATTCCATGTATCCATGCCTCTGGTTCTATTTTGTTCGCCAGTTTACTTTGTTTATTAGATCCCACATATAAGTGAGATCATGTGATACGTCTTTCTCTGACTGGCTTGTTTTGCTTAGCATATTACTCTCCAGGTCCAGCCATGCTGTCACAAAGGGTAAGAGTTTCTTCTTTTTTTATAGTGTGTAGTATTCTATTGTGTATATATACCACAGTTTTTTATCCACTCATCTACTGGTCAGCACTTGGGTTGTTTTTAGATCTTGGTTGTTATAAATAATTATGCTGTAAACATAGGGGTGCATATATTATTTCTGATTGCTCTTTCGGGATTCTTGGAGTATATTTTCAGAAGTGGAATCTCTAGGTCAGAAGCCAGTTCCATTTTTAAGTTTTTGAGGAAACTCCATACTGTTTTCCATAATGACTGCACCAGTCTGCATTCCCACCAATAGTGCACTAGGGTTCCCTTTTCTCCACAGCCTCACCAGCACTTGTTTGTTGATTTATTGATGGTAGCCATTCTGGCAGGTGTGGGCTGATATATTGTCATTTAATTTGCATCTCTTTGATGATTAGTGACATTAGCATTTTATCATGTCTACCGGCCAAAATCAACTTCTTGTGATCAAAAGACACAGCTAGTTATCTTCTAAGTTACCTTATCTTAGCAGCTAACACAGTGGATGTAATTAAATTGATTGGAAGACAGCCATTGCAAAAACATGCTGAATCAAGTTGAAGAGATAGGGGCTCTAAGATTGAGCAAGTATTCATATCTCATCATTTTATTCTGAGTCTTGGAAAAATGTGGGGATTTACTCAGAATTAATAAGCTATCCAGAAGAAAATGGCATATACCTTTGTATTTCAAAAAATCCAGTCAAGAAGGTTCAGCATCTAAATGCAATACTAACATCCTCTTGCAACCACATCAAAATTACAACTAAACTACAGAACAACCATCATTGAGAATCACCTGAAATATAGCTGAACAGAAATCTTATAACTGAGGATATAAAGAAGAAGCCATGTGGAGACTGGTAGGAGGGGACACAGATGTGGATAGGTGGGTCCTACTACCACATGTGACTGCTAAAATTCCAGAGGGATGTTTTAGTTGCACAGTCCTCTTTGAGGAGCAAGACATTCCAACCCCACACCAGGCCCCCAAGCCCAGGATTCCAGTGCCAAGTAGAGAAGTCTCCATAATTTCTGGCTATAAAAACCACAGGATTGTGGCTGAGTGACACAGAGGGCTTCTGGAGTCACAGATGTTTCTCTTAAAGGCCTGTGCGCAAATTTACTCAGACTCACTCACTCTGAGCTCCAGCACTGAGACAGAAGCTCGAAAGGGGCCAGGGACATATAGGGAGAACTGAATTGTCTGGCATTGGGGCAAGGGCTAGAAGGGCAGCTTTCTCCCAAACAGAAGTATTGGCAAAGGCCATTGTTTCTTTGCTGAGCTCTCACAGATCTGGCAGATGGGCACCATATCTGAGTCTCCATCAACCTGGCAAACACTGTTCCCCCACTCTGGTGATTCCCTGAGACCCTACCCCACTCAAGTTGCAGGAGAACCCAGTGCCTTTCCATGCAAGCTGCCTGTCTTAGCTCATGTTGTGGACTCCATAAAATCTCTCAAACAAGCAGCATTTGGCCTTGAAGTGCCCCAAACCACTTGCTAAGTGGCCCCAGGCCTAGCACTAGCAGCAACCAGCCTTGGTTCACAGCTCGGTCTCTCCTGGGCACCTCTAACCTCAGCACAAGTAGCAGCCATCTACAGATTGCTTTGTAGCTTATGCTGGATGGCCCCAGGCAAGACACAGGTGTCATATTACTTTGGCCTACATCTCCCAGGAGGCCCCAGAGCCAGTGCACCCAGTGAACAGCTCAGACCACACATAAACACTAACCAACCACCTCCACTAGCAACACACTCAAGGGAAGGACTTAGTGGGTATTGGAGCCTACTGAAGTGTCATGATTCTGCACAGTAGATCCTCTATGGTAGTTTCAGCCAGTCCTCACAGCCAATTTGCCAGAAAGTAAATACCTCCTATTAATGTACCAGCAGCAATCAACACTCAACTACAACAGGAGGGTGCACATAGCCCACATGGAGGGCACACCTGAAGCACCCAGCTCAGGTGACTGAGGGGGCTATGCCAATGGGACCTACAGAACACCTACTACATAAGGCCATTCTCTATTAAGTCTGGGAGACCTAGCAGATCTACCTAATATAGAGAAAAAAACACAGGGAGGGAGCCAAAATGAGGAGACAAAGAAACGTGTCCCAAATGAAAGAACAGACTAGCCCTGGCTTGTGTGGCTCAGTTGTTAGAGTGTCAGCCTATTCACCAAAGGGTCATGGGTTTGATTTCCAATCAAGGGTGTATACCTAGGTTGCAGGTTTGATCCCTGGCTCCAGTTGAAGCACACATGAGAGGCAACCAATTGATGTGTCTCTCTTACATCAATGTTTCCCTCTCTCTCCCTCTCCACCTCCCTCCCTCCCTTCCACTCTTTAAAAATCAATGGAGTATTAACTGGTTTGCTCATGGATAGAGCATCGGCCCATCGAAGGGTCCTAGTTTTGATTCTGATCAAGGGCACATACCTCAGTTGCAGGCTTGAACCCAGGTCATGGCACATGTTGAAGGCAACCATTTCATGTGTCTCTCTCACATCGATATTTCTCTCGCTGTGTCTCTTCCCTCCCCTTCCACTCTCTCTAAAAATCAATGGAAAAATATCCTCAGGTGAGGATTAA